ATCTCTTCCTCTACAAAAAAACCCCACGTTATTTTCTCAGAATGTGGTCAGAACCCAAAAGATTTGTACTTTTGTAATTATCTGGTGCAATCCTGATCAAAATAGTATCCTATTCAGAGAAGGAAGGTAGATTGTTGCCTACCAGAAGATTGCTGGAAGACAGCGAAATGGCGAAGGCTTCAAAGTCCCGTTGACGTTGGTGTGTGCCCTGCGAAGCTAGGCTGGTCGTGGTGCTGGAGGGGTCAGCTGAAGTGATGGGCTGGTGGCTGCTGCTGTGGGAATGGGGAATTGCTCTTCATCTTCTGCAAAAGGGCTGTTTCTCTCTGTTTGGCATCAGTAGGATCACTATTCCTGACTTTACAGGGTTTTCCCTCTAGGTCTGCCACAATTCTGTGCCTTTTTATGCCTGCCTTCCCTGCAGGATGAAAAGTAGCCTCTCATTCATGTGATAGCAAAATTTGCTTTTGCCTATGCTACTGAGAGTCTTTTAAGCTGACTCTGAATAATATTTTTTTTTTCTCCTGTATATCTCTGAAGCATTGATTGTTGCATCTGAAAGAGGTGGCAGGTGTCCAAGGTAACAAGAGATTTAACATCTGGATGGTCACGATGAGGAATGTTTTTACTGCTAGGTGTCTCGTTGAGTAGCAGCTAGTCTTGTGATCTGGACTAATTGTCAGCAGTACAGGAGGAAACCAGCTCTCTCTGGCTTTCATCACATAAAATCAACCCACTAATCCCACTTGCTTTCAATAAAAATCTTTTTGTAGCTGAAGAGCTATTGAAACTGAATTCAGAAGGGAGTTCTCAGAAGCAAACTGTTCCTGTGGCTTCTTTCTGTATGTCCCATAGTAAGACGGTTTGATTTCTACTTCAGCAATTTGATTGCTTGCATCCAACTTTTTTTTTTTGTCATCTTTCTCTGTCAAAGAAGATCTGTTTCACTGTGCATGTGATTATCTGACTTTATTTGTGACTTCTGTTATCCCTGGTAGACTACAGGGATGCCTAGGTTATTTGGGCATAGAAAGAGCAATGTTTGAAGTTGATTCCTATAAAATAATGCAGTGTGTCTGTTCAGCAGTACAGATACTTGCAGGAATATGCGATCTGCCCTCTTCTGTTTTAAATCAATTTCACAGTCTCGATCCTTACTATTTAAGGTGTCCCCAGACCCAGGGTTTCTTAAGGGCTGGTTAATACTCTGGTGAAAGCTGTTGTCAATAGCAGCAGGCTTTTAGCACAACTTTTCACAGTAATGATAAAACTCATAATTTAATATACATGAGAACTATAATTTTAAAGCATTCTGCAGGAACAGTCAGCAACACTATCAAGAAGAGTAATTCTACAACTGCTTCATACTTTGAATAACAGTATTTCCAAGTATGTTACCTGTTACCTAATGAAAGAGTAATAATATAAGCAAGTTATGATAAGAAATTGAGTAGAGAAAGCAATGGAGCAACTTACATTGTGTAACTTAGTGATTTTTTTTTTTTTAAATCACTGTTAAGAACTAGCTAGTAGATAACACTACTCACTACTGGAGACGAAATTTAAATTGATATTAAGGATGTCAGAAAGTATGGAGGAACTGGCACCAGAAGAGACGGCAAATTTGAGTGGCAAGAGCAATGATTAAACTCAAAGAGATCAAACTGAAATACAATTTCATATGTTCCATAGGTTGGATTCCTAATAATCCTTAGTAGTTAAATACTGACATGTTATGATTCTTGCCCTGTGTCAGCATCTTTAACGGCAATGACAGTTGAAGCTGATGGACAAATAAGTCTAAATAAGCGATACCTGAACTCTAAGTGAAAAGAGCTGGAGTAAACAGGAACTTTACATAGCACCTGGAAAAGGACTTGCAAAATCATCCATATGAATAAGAAAGCTGACCCAAAAAAAAAGGGGAAAAAAGAGAATAATAGACAAATAATCTTCTCGTGTAACCTGTGAATGATGATAGTAAAGCTGTGAGTAAGAAGCTTGATGAGTTGTCAAACTTATGTCAACTGAAGGTGCTTCTTCAGTGTTTGAAATTGTAGATTTTCAGTATCTAAACCATACACACAGTTGTTATTTCCAGCTTAGCTGGTGAATGTTCAAATTGAAAGTCCATCAAAATATGGGCAGATATCATGCTGCCTTCAAAAGAGAAAGTCTTGGAAATATTTGATGTACTAAATGGAGTAACTTACTACAAATGCTACATCTGGGTTCATCAAGTTATTATGGCTGAAGTTATCCAAAAAAAGATAACCTAAGGCAAAACTGTTACTTCTAACCTTTTTGCATGTAGGGGGGAAATGTGAAATGCCATTAGGATCTAGAAATAAACCAAAATCCTTCACTGTTGTAGTGGAGAGGGCTGGTTTAGATTCTAATTCGATTAGATGTAATATGCAGCAAAATTTATATCTATTATGGGATACCTACACTAACCTAATTTGGGAACATCTGTCTTGTAAAGGAAACCTGAATCCAGCATATTGATTTGCACCACTTCCAATGCAAAGTTTATGTTGCATGTGTAGGCTCAGTTTGAAAGATAAAACAGTAATTGCCAACCTCCAAAAATGTCGTGAGGTTCAACGTAGAGAAAACTGAACATTGGTATTGGGGTGGCAACTCGGTATACCTGTCTTTGTCATTGCGCGCAACTTACTCCGCTCTATTTGGTTCAGGGAATCTCTTCTCTCTTTTTCCTCTCTTGGCCTTAGGAGTAGGCTGTAAATCTTTGAAAGAAGTGCTTAAAAAATAGCAAAATGGTTTAGAAGCAGTTTTCTGGAATACGTGAACATAGATAGATAATTGTGTCATATTCACAGTGAATCCACTGCATCATTGCAGTAAGCTCCGAAGGATCAGCTACTCGTTTGCATGACAAGTTCTCACTCTTTTCAAAATAATCTATTATAATCCAGTTTATATAACATAATTTCTATTTAAGAGATGCAGAGCAGGACACCAGTAAGGATCCATTCTGTTCAGCAGTCAAGAATGCATTCCCCTCTGCTCAGCCTTTTAAAGCATTGGCCCTATAGAGACGCTCTGTTAATAATGAAAATGGAACACGAACATTTTAATTTGGATTATTTTAGACTATAAACTCTTCAAGGAAGGCAATTTCTATTAGTGGATCACCTGTTTCAAGGAGGATCCATCCTGTTGTTTCAAAATCAGGATCATGCAGATCTCAGGCAGGACTGTTAGTGCTAATTAAAATTACCTGTTCATTGTAGTATTGTGGGATTTTTCTCTTTGAACAATTAAAACTTTATCATACTGCAACAGTGGAAACTGGATCTTTCTATGCCAGATGTCTACCTCTGGTTAAAGGTTTTAGTTAATTAGAGTTGGGAATTTTTGTTTATGGAGTTATCATTTAAACTTAATCATCCCAGAAAATTAGGTT